CGGCTAAGTTTCAGACGTTACACACCAAAAAATTCTGAATTTTACTGGCGATGTAAACATCCATGCATGCAAACATTTATACATGTAAACTTCCTTTTCACGTAAACTAGCAGCTTGTAAGAAATGTTGCAAACAAAAGTGGACAGTTGCATACAATATATGAAATATAGCATGACATGTCTCATAAATTTACACATTCTTTAATCTAAACTTGTATGATATATGACGCTCCATTTATGTGCATCATAGTAACGGAAATTTACACTACTTTTTTTTTTAGCTGTGTACATACTGGCTATAAAATGCCAAAATTACAATTAAATCCCCAAAAAATGAAGACCAATAGGTTGCCATTATTTAGATTATCATAATTTTGAACTCAGATAAATTTTGCAAGACATTTAAAAAACATATAATCAACATTTCTGAATTTCTGCAATGCACCTGACTTCAGCCTGCGACCCTTGGATTGAGAAATGGTCGCTTAGACTGATTGCACATATCAATAAGATGCTACTCCGTGATGGATTAGAATCAATAAAATTGCTTATACTAAATGGAGCCATGAGTTACCATCCATTCTAACTGTACACATTTCAGTGGCTCCATGTATTAAATATGACGAATGGAGCCAGCCTTGAAATCAGGTGGCCGTGATGAAGGAATATTAAAGTGATCATTGATGTTTTGGAGATGTTTGTTTACCTCTGCATCCCCACAATGGTCACCGGAAGGGAGATTATGCTAGTAAGTAGTATGCATAGCAAAAGGATTCACCTTGCTATGTAATACCATAACAGCCACAGTTCGAAAAAGTAGTGTAAATTTCTGTTGAATATGATGCACATAAATGGAGCGTCACATATCATATAAGTTTACATTATAAATCATGTAAAGTTCTGAGACATTTCATGCAATGCAGCAAATATTGTATACAAAAGCCCATCTTTGTAAACAACTTTGTTTACAAGTTGCCCGGTTGTGTGAAATTAAATACAAGTTTACGTGGATGAATGTTTACATCACAATTAAAATTCAGAATTTTTACTTGTGAGATTTGATAATGTGTTTTTCAAAATTCACGCAAATAAGATTTGAAATGTGCAAGGCCTGAACTGCAATCCTATCAGTAGTGAAAGGGGACCTAAGATTAAACCCACAATCACCTTTACACTAAGTAAAAACTATCACCACTAGGCCACCGTGCCCCTTACATCACAACTAACCATTGAGTACCGTCATCAAATGGAACTCAAGTGTGCCGTTTTCACAATACTCGATATAGACAAGTGCACGCACAACATTGTCCTCTCCCCGACAGTAAACTCTTTTCCACCACCACAGCACCTGTACGCGGTAATTCGGTAATGAAAACCAGTTTCGTAGTTCTATGGTTTGAAATGCAAATAAGTGCTACAACGAAAGATGTTATTTAGGTTATGTAATTGTAAATTGTTCGAAATAATTACTTAAAGTTTATTTTCTTGAGTCAATAGTATTTCAATTGTTAGTCAATGCTAATCAGTTGTAATCTTCAGAACACACGAAGGAGCATAAATAATGCTGGATTGACAATTAATAGACGGCCCGAAAAGTTGTAGATCATATTTTCTAATATGAGAAAGAGACGGTTAATGTTATTTGGATGATTTAAAACACAGATATTTTATGAATATGCAAACGAACAAAAAGAAACAGTTGTAAACAACAAAACAAAAATTAGATCTTGTTCGTAAAATAGTCAGAAAATCATGGTTAAGAGAAGCTGGTCCTGAAATTTACCGAAGACGGCTGAACTATTGTTAGTTTATTAGCAAAGTAACAAATACATTTCCAGCCCACATACAACTTAATTCAATTGGTTAACTTCCACTATATGAAATACGTTTGTGATTGCCGTGTGATCTAATGTAAAGCAATTTAGATTTGTACTGGTCGGCAACTAATTAATTCAAATTATTAGGAGTATGAGAGTACATTAAAGCTAGATAGTACTCTAGATAGAGCAAGCATGAAGTTTGGAAAGACGGGAAATACGAGAGAGCAGGACCATATGGATATGCATTGAACACACAAAAGATCTTTTGTCGCGCTACTAGACGTGTCTGTGTCAAAGTACATATTACTAATGTAAGCTGTACTATAGACCGTTTAGGTGTAGATCAGTGGGTTTAGCCTCACTGGCCTATTATCAATCTGCTAGTGGATCCAGATCAATGTAGCGTACAAAAAGTTGATTTTCAATTTAAAATTTGTGACTTTTTTAAAACTTATGACTTATTACCGAAAATTCCGGTATTTTAAGCCATGTTAAACCGGTTTCCGTAATGGGTTTAGGGCTGGTATAACGGTTTTTGGTAACGATATTACTGGTGTTGAAACCCCTAGTAGCAAGTAGAGTAACTCCTTGCATTGCATACTGCAATTTATATTTAATCCAAAGGCAAATTCACAGGCAAGCAGAAAGAAAATGTCCCTCCCTAATGCAGTAGGAAAATAAAACATCAAATTTTTTTTATGCTACTAAATGTACACAAATTTTTCTGAGTTTCAGTTAAGCACAATTAAATTTTCTAGAAAATTACATTATTCGACTTTTGAAAAAGTTAAAGATTATACTAAGGGATTTTGTAGAAACATTGAGATTGAATTAAAAATTGAGATCCAGGGCAAGAATATTAAATACTGATGCTGCTGGATTTTGAATATTTTCCCACGATCTCATATTTAGGATAGGATCCAAGATTTTTGCCTCCAGGAAATTGTCAAGGCTCTTCAACTAGGCTGAACTTAGTGGATGAAATTTTAAGACAATCATGATTGAAGAGAACTTATGGGGAATTTATGAAAGTAATATTAAGAACTCCGTGGAGAGCCCCGAGGTAGTTCTGGAAAGAATTCAAGGGTAATGATATTATTTTCATGAACTTTGTAATGAGAACTTCGGCTGCATTTATTGTAGTTTTTATAGGGTAGTTATAAGTAAAATTACATGGTCTTTCTCAGAATAATTCTATGGGGATTGAGAGGACAATTTTAAAGAGATTTCTAAAGGAAACTCTGAGGAGAATATTAAAAGAACACTGCAAAGAATTCTGAGAATAATTCCAATGTGGTTATTATGACAATTCCAATGGAATACTGAATACACTCCCAAGAAATTCAGAATTATGATATGAAATTCAATAGAATTGTGATTAGAATTTCAAGGGAATCTGAATCTGAAGATATTTCGACGAATAGTTCTAATCTTCAATCAAATCAAACGGTAAGGGGAGAATTATTTGGGAATTCTGAGAAGAATTTCAAAGAAACAGCAGCAGTCTTAGTTATGAATATAATTCGAACATATATCCGACATAGGTAGAACATCTGAGTATTTTTCTGAGGATTATTTTTTTTTCTTGATATGTTTTCCGTCGATCTTGTTTTCGAGCTGAACACCAGTGCTACCGACGCCAGGGAGGCAGCTGCCACACCTAGACCCTACCTTTTGACCCATCAACTCATGAACCGGGGACCAACGACTTTACTTCCCGGAAGGCGTGATCAAAGATATTATGCTGCACCGACTGGGATTGAACCCAGGCCTGCTGGGTGAGAGGTAATCACGCTTACCACTACACCACCGACGCCTCTGGTTGTGAGGAGTGATCTAGAATAATTCCAATTGGAGTTAGCCAAAACAAAAATCCAACTGGATTTCAAAGAAATTATAACGGAATGTTGAGGAAGTAAATCCAAGAATAATTCAAAAAAAAAATTGATTCACATTCCAAAGGGTTTTCTTAAGCTTCAAAAAAAATTCCGACATAAAATCCAAACACATCCTTTCATTTAATAAAAAATAAACTTATAAGAATTCAAATGGAATTTAAATCTGATGAATTGTCATTCGAAATCGAACATCAAATAAAAAGAAATTACTGTATGTCAATTTTAAAAGAGAATATTAAAGAACTCCTGGGAGTAGTTTTGAAAGAAAACATAGGAAATGCTGAAGATAATTTTTATAAACTTTACAAAACAAATATCAATTAACCTCTTGGAGCATTTTTAGGAAACTTTGATACAATTACGATTAGATTTCTTAAGAATTCTTTGAAAATGCTAAGGATAGTTCCTAGAAAATTTATATGCGTTTCCAAATAATTCCTAGGAAATTCTGAAAAATATTTATAGAAATTTACGAAAAACCAGAGAGCATTTCAAGAATACTCTTGAACACATTTGAAAAAAGTCTTCGAAAATTGATAATCTATTGAAAGAGAATTCATGAAAAACAACTGTGGCTACTGGGATTGGTTTTTTTTTATATTAATTTATTTGTACAGGCTCAATCGAATAAACTTTACAGAGCCGAGTTATCATTTGCATTATACATGAATAATGTCTTAAATCTAGAGTTAAAGGAATTGAACCGATTACTCGCGGTCGTCTCGAGGTTAGTGGAGATTTACAATTTTTTGGGTGGGGAAAGGGAGAAGGGGGTTTGAAATATGATTTATTATACAAATATTTAATTATTCCTAAAACATGAACTTATTTCTATTCATCTTGAAAACAAACATTAAAAAAAAACTACACCCACAATACACAAACTAAACACAAGGTTAATCAAACTTACAATCTAAGGTTAGTATTCTTAAAGTAATCTGGGATTGGCTTGAAGAGTACCAAAAAGGAAGCTTGACAAAAGAAATGCTCGTTCGATTCGTACCGTTATTAAAAGTTGCCCTGTGCTAATGTTCAACTTCTCTATACATTTTTCACGCTGCCATACTCTAACGGAACTATCAATTATATACTTCGGTCACCTTATACATAACAAATTTCATCTCAAGCCTACCCCAAGCTCCTCCCCTCCTCCTATCCTTCGACAAAGTACCCCTTTAACTACTAGGCAAGCGAATTTTGTTAAAAACAATGAACAATTAATCATTGGCTCCGTAAAGCTTTGATTTGGGATTAATTTTGGGTCTTCCAAATGAACGAACTAGATAAAAAAAAAACCTTAAGTGTGATACTGTCATCCGTTTAGTATCTCCCTCAACTACAATTTCACATTACATCCAATGTCTTCGTTGAACGAAGAGTTGAACAGAAAAAGACAACTGAACGTGCCGTACTGATTCTGAGCGTAGTAGGAAGTAAGAAAGATTCTTCAGTGCATTTTTTTTATCATGCAAAGTGATTTCCGATAACGGTAGTGTACATTATTTTTAATAATAGTCTGGTAGGGATATGGAGAAAAGTATTATTTTTTAGCAGATAAACATGAAAGAACCAGGTTTATGGATAATATCTGAAAAACAGACCAGCTGATTATATATCTAGGCCAAGAACAGTCAGAGTCACTCACTGATTCCTGATCTTTTTCGTTCAGTAATGCTTTTAATCAGCTTTGCGCTCAGCAGAGCATGTTTTTCACATTCTGTCACTTTCTCGCTTGTTTCGTTCTACTGTTGACAGTTTTAAGTCAAAGTGTGGAAGATTTTACACTCATATACTGCGGTAATATACCTAACTATCCTATGTTCTATGCAAGCCGTAAGTATTGTGGAACATTTACGACTAGAACGGCAGTATAGCAGTCGTTCAAAATCCGAAAACGGCTATTTTCATGCCGCAACGAATTTTCCCATGTGGCTGCAGGAATCCCTCGAATTTCTCGGCTGTCTTCAAACCAATTGAGCTGACTGTGTGCATGTGATTAGTGTCTACCAGGCATGGAAAACCATTTACATTCATTTCATGCATTCATTTACATTTATTTGCCTCTAACTATTTTCATCAACACAATTCCGTAAAATGATGTATGAAGCCTTTGTAGGTTTTGATATTAGCTACAACTGTCAATAACTCAAAACTGTATCTATTATGCATGATGAACAAGAGTGAACAGAACCCACAATTGTTTTTCATTAAATGTAAATTACATTCACTTAAAACAATGACAAGTTCTGCCCGCTCACCTATTTTCATTCTTCATTCTTCGCGAATAGCGATCAAAAAATTGCTGGTTATGACTCTTGAAAGCAAAATTGGCAGGTTTTATGTGTACGAAATATTTTTTACATCCTTTTAATATACAAATACATCATAACATTATAACATCTTATGAATAATGAATGGAAGTCACTCTGATTTCCAACTATTGATAAACAACAGTATCAACTAAATATAAATACTCAGTGTCACATGCTACACTTCTTCGACATCATTTCAGGCAACATTTCCCTTCCAACCACTTATTCATCAATCAATTTTAAGCCATTAGTAAGAATTAATTAAATTACTTAAAATTAAACGATACCACAGCCTGCAACTCGTAAATCACCGTTTAATCCTACGAAAAAATCTCCAGTTCCAATATCTACACATGGGAACGTAAAGCCTAATATCTCCAAAGCAAGCCAAAGCCAAATCGGTCAACATAGAACAACGCCCTGCAGATAGATAACATTGCAAGCCCATCAATCTTCGATTCGCCCAACATAATAGCCCAATATAAACAGAAGCGAAAAACGCCCGAATCATCAGGGTAGGTCCTGGTCGGTGCCAAATACCAACAGCACACCACTATGTATCGCAACCTAATAAATCCCCAATTTAATTTCCTCTATTCTTCCCATATGTTCGTGAACATCGATGGCAAGAAGCCATGTTTAGCTACTGCCAGCTACTGTATGAAAACGAACACGCATCGTCCCCGATTGTTGTGGTTTCTTCCGATGATTCCTTTTGAGCGCTGCCATGGATGACAGACTTCATCAAAATCGGAAGGAAATTGATTAAACTCACCACCTCATAACCATCATCACTCGTCATCGTGCATCCACTCTGCGAGCGATAATCAAGGGAAGACCCTCATCATCCGGAGTTCAATATCGCCGCAGCAGTGTAATAACAACAACAGTATCCGTTCATACCCTGCTACATGGACAGCGTGTGTTCGTGAGTGTGGGATTTTTATTGATCGCCCAAGCTGAATAGATAACCAATTATGTTCGATCGGAATCGAGATTGTCTAATAGCATATGGGTAGAAACGGCATACGGATGCACTAATTCAATTTGAAATACCTCGTTTTCTTTCGCTACGGAAGACTAAGCAATTGTGAGTTTGATTGAATTTTCCATGCAGCGGATCTGGACAGAAGGGGAAAAGCCATGGAAAATCTCGTTTTCTATACCGGTAATCCAATATGGGACGCCTCTTTCTTTTCTTCTATGGAATATGAGTAATCTTGACCATTTATTCATAGTGCTTATTCTCTTCGCAGCTCCTTTCCAAACAACAATAATTCAACGCACTGGGTGGATCTACGTGATTCGTTTCTTCTCCACAACTCGGAGATTCTCGGCTCAATATTTACATTTATAAATAGATCTCTCTAATCTTTTAGCATTCTCGTTTTCATTCCTTTGAGAAACTCACTTTTCTTCGGTCGATGATTCGTTTCAGTCACTGCAATCCACATACACAGACACACTGAATTCGCAGGTCGGCACAATTGAAACCGATTTTGAATACCGTAGTGCGCACTTTTTTTTATGCTGATTGGAACAGTAAATCGAACCGGCTATAAATCGCGAGCACTGACACTGAAAATCCTACAAAATCCACGAGCTGCAATCGCGTGTGTTCACTCGCCAATACAAGCTCTCCGCAGCTCCCAAGGCCCGTGTCCGTTGTCCGTAACAACAATACAACGTGCCCTTCTAGAACTCAGAAATGTTCCCTTTCGCGTGCGTTCGCATTTTGCGTAGGCCGAACTACACGTCGCACTCCAGGGGTGTCCTTCCGGAACTACTATAGTAGGTACTCTTCGCGGACGAACCACAATAACACGCGCGCGTACTTGTACCGAGTATGTTTTGGTGCGGTTGTTCACTTGTCAAAAGCTCACGATGTACTAAAACAAACTCTCTTGCCGCATCGCATCGCAAGTGCCGCGCCGCAGCTGAATCAAATTTCAATTTTTCTTCCTTCTTTTCGATCGCATGTTGGTCCTACCACCACCGCATCGCGCGCTCACGTCACCCTCCGCACTCAGACGATTCTCAGAGGCAGGCTCCTACATGTGCGCGGCGCACACAGACCCGGCCGCCACGGTCATCCGCAAATGAACCCTTGCTTGCTGCCTTGTTTGCTCCGGCATAACACTTGCCGCCGTGTGCCACCCAATGTGCCTCAAAAAATGCTCCCACGAAGCATAGAACTGCACCCGGCTCCATTGCTGTTGTTGTTATTCTATTGGCGCACTTATGCTCACCGACTTGCATCGCTGAATGCTGTTGAGAGAGGAGATGAATGCTCACGCTCACGGATCCAACATAAACAAACTTATCGTTTTGGGGTTCATTATTCTACTCACTCTCGAGTTCATTTAATTCAAGAGCGAAGAGTAGGTATACATATGCTTTCCTACATGTTGCAGGCCGACAGCGAAACCAAAACAAACGCCATTGATGCTGAAGGATGAATTGAACCAAAACATGCATCGTATAGGATGAGTAGGTATGAGGGGAGCAATCTACCGGGGCTTCGGGGCTTCAGGAAGATGTTGATGACGCAGTGACGTGATGCGGCTGGTGAGTCATGATTATCGCGAACGCGCCGCAACCCATTGCGAGAGAGGACAGACAGTTTGCTAGATGCTGTAGGTAGGTATGTATATGCGAGGCGGTCAATGCGGTAGGAAATTGGAAGAATTGTTGTCATGGTCGGTGGGGCACATTCAAAGCCGATTAGTTTAGTGGCAATGTATACATATTGTTGTTTTGGTGGTGAAGATCATAGGGTTGCCTGTCAGGAATGACTCGATCAATTTGAACAGTTTGATGGTCTTTGTAAGAATTTAAATGTTTAAAATACAGCCATTCCTGAATGTGAAGTAACTGACTTTTTCACTTCCATCGCCGTTTTCTCGAAACGACCATTGTAGCAAGCAAAGTAACATCATCGGACAGAAGAGACCATCCTCTATCTTTTGGTATTATCGATTTGTATAATTAAGTTGTAGGTAGTTGGCGAGGAATTGATAAAGGGAGTGAAAAAAGTAACTTATGTTATATCGAGGAATGTCTGTATTGACCCACTCCAATACTTCTTCTTCCTCCATGCATTTCAAGCTCATTACTTATCGCATAGTAGCTTATTGCGTACTCTCAATTTTGTGTTCTATATGCTCTTCCACAGTTATTAAGTGAGAGCTTTCGATGTCTGGTATCATTTTTGCATTAGTATAATTGTGTAACAAGTACAATCATACTCTATGTTCAGGGAAGTCGAGAAATTTCCCAACCCAAAAAATGTCTAGACCGTACCGGGAATCGAACCCAGCCTCCCCCAGAATGGTCTTACTTTGTAGCTGCGCCTTTAACTCGGTTTTGAGATTGGAAGCAAGAAAAGGTTCTGACCAGGGTTCCGATGCATGGTCAAATATCAATATCAGTAGCTTGTTTTTCCAGTGAGCTGAGATCCCTATCCCTACTTGTGACAAGGGACAATAGGCAACATAAGCGCGGGCCCAGACTGACGGTCCAAGCTGACAAATCAACATTCTCGATGATTGCTTGCGGTATCCTTGGATTTTAGGATGATTTTCATTTGTTTGGTTGATGATTTATAGTTGCTCGATAGAACGATAGAGTAAATTAAATATGAAGTTTTTATAAATTTAAACGGTTATTATGAATCACACGAGCGGTGAGAATCGGACAACATCAAAGTGTTTTTGGTGGGTGGCATTGTAAGGTGGATCGTGTAGCATCGTCTATTGGTTCTCTGTGTAATTACAGCTGATCTGGCAATAACAGAGTAGCAACCGTGGGCGGTCAATCAAGCTCAAGCTCAAGCTCAAGCTCATTGTAAGGTGGATCGTGAAGTAGACAACGATGACTAGAAGGATGCTGCAAAGCTGATAGTCGAATACCATGGACGAAATATGGTGGATCATGTGTAACGAAGAGAGAAGTCAGTTGATCTGAGCAACGTGAGTCGGCTA